ACCTAGGCCTGTCTTCATCAACCTGAAATCACTGTGGAGATTCACTGCGCTGCACTTCACACACTCAGTATAAAGCGTGAACAAAATCCCGATTTTCAACACTAATCCCAATCAAGTCAGTGCTTCTATGTGATAGTTGAGAGAGTTGGCGGTGCGTTACGGAAAGCATTTCCAACAAACTACAGACACACATGATGAACAGCTGACATCTACGCTCACTCTATACTGAAGATGTAGATAAGATGGCTAGAATAACAAGAAGAAGCAAGAAGAAATTGACTTTGGCTGTCTGTCTGTCTGTCTGTCTGTCTGTCTGTCTGTCTGTCTGTCTGTCTGTCTGGCTGGCTGGCTGGCTGGCTGGCTGGCTGGCTGGCTGGCTGGCTGGCTGGCAAGGAACCAGCCAGGAAGGTATCAGCCAACCAATATGCATGAGAAAGTGGAGATGGATTAGATTGTATTGGACATAGACTGAGGAGAAGACAGTTTGGGGACATGAGGTGTCAGGCCGAGCCAGGCCAGACTATTGAGTGGAAGTCAATTGTGAAATGAGGGGTTGGTTGTCCTAGGTAAGGGTGACATGGAGGAGGTGGTGTGAGGGCGAAATGAAAGGTTGTGGGTCCTACGGATGGCTTCCATTTAGTCGCATTGCATGAAAACGGTTTACACATCCGGCTGTGCTCTCTTACTAACGGAGAAGGCCCCAAAGTCCTGAGTATCTACTTTTACCTAGTTGGTTGGGACAGCATCGGCTACCCGACTTGAGTTATCCCGCTAAGGCCTGCTCCACCTCCCACTCGTGGCTCAGCTAGCACCGTTTCTCCTGCTGCCATGGTATTACGGTGGAATCCAGGCATTTCAGCCCTTTCTGCCCACGTGGTTAACAGAAAATTGACCGAGGTCGTAACTCAGCTGAGGACTGCCACCGAAGACTCGTCTTCCGACCAGAAGGTTATAACACTGGTTTCATCATTTTGAGTGTTCAGTAATAACTGCTGGTGCAGTCACCAGGATGTAGCTAGCTGTCTGTCTAGTGCAATAGACGGTGCCGCATCTTCGTACGGTTTGGGACTCTAGAAGGGAGAATAAAGAGACTCATGTGTCCCTTTTATGAATTTGGATAATGTAATTAGAAGAGGTAGATTATCTGAAAAATGTGATGTATTGGCGCTATACATTTCGAACAATCTGATCACACATTTACTTGTTAAGGCATTATATATGAAAACTGGAAGTGGGGGAAGGACACATATGACATAAAGGAATTCAATAATAAGAAAGATAATGAGAGGAATAAAAGATAAGACTTGAAGACAGTCTTGGTAATACGATAAAATAAGCATTACCAAGGTAGGCTTAATGTAAGGACAAACTGTTTTTGCACACACAATTGGGAGGTTTTATTCATTTGTGACTAGCGCCTCGACAAACTTATGTATACGCTTCTGACAGTTTCTGTACAGAATTGTAAAGGCTGTTTTGATATCAATTCTGTGACTCTTATCAATGATATGTTTCGCAATGGATGATGATGGTTGACTGCCATCTGCGCTTATCGATGTTTGTGAATCCAGCTGCTTTCGTAGCCACTTTGGAACATGTCCCCCTACCCTCAAGTGCATATCACGATTCGTCCTCCCTATGTGTGTTTGTCCACACACACATGTAAATTTATAAACGCAATGGGATGTGACACAATCGTTTATACAGCGTTGAGGTCTAGGTAGCAGCAGGTGTTTGGTCTTCTCAACTATGATAAGCTTAGCTGCATAGTACGTTTTGCTAACAGCAGACCTTAACCTTCGTTTTAATATTATGCTATTATGCTATTATTATTGAATTCCTTTATGTCATATATGTCCTTCCCCCACTTCCAGTTTTCATATATAATGCCTTAACAAGTAAATGTGTGATCAGATTGTTCGAAATGTATAGCGCCAATACATCACATTTTTCAGATAATCTAAGACTCATGTGTGTTAAACACATGGAGGCATGGTCTTTTGTCTGCAAAATAGAGAAGAGAGAGATTTAACAGAGGACGGAGACTTACCTGTCTTCAAGGTGGAAGCCATCATAACATCTAAGCTAGCCGACATGGTGATGAAGCATAGATCGGAGAGATTTAACTTTGAGAATCTTATTACGGAGCGCATAGCCTTTTCTGTGTCTTCATACTGGAGGCCTTTCATACTCATGATGAAGGGATAGTGTCTACAGGAAATGGTCACTATTTGGTACATTACATGGCTATCTACTCTTCCAAGCTTCACTCTGGTCAAAGTCTTTCAACCAAGTTTTGCACTGTTACCACTAGACCAAGTCGTATGACACTGCAATGGTCTATATGTCTTTTCTTATCATCGCAAGTACGCGCATAACTATTATTACTATTATTATTATTATTAGCTTGATAATTACTAACTCCACACTTAATCAGACTGTTTTGCTGGCTTCAAGAATCATGATAACTGCCATAATGCTTTGTATTTAAGTTAAGCAGTGTGGAATGGAATCGAACTTGAGGAGAAGAAAGTGAAAACAATTATGTATAGTGCTCATCAGTGACATGCATACAGATGGATATCATGAAGTTCTAATGAAAAGTCGCAACCTGTTACATCAACCAATCGAAAGGTAAGTCAATGTCAACTAAAGACCTTGGGTGATAGTCGTGCTATATTGTGAACTGAAGGAAGCTGGAAACTATGAATCATTGAACTCCAACCCAATGGCTGAACTGTGAAAGTGATAGCTGTGAAACCTGAGTTCAATCCCTGGAGAGTGAGATTGTAGATGTGTACTATTGAGAGGTTCCATACTAGGACGGAACAGCTACTGTCCAGTGATCCAAGATTTTCAGTGACTCTCCAGCTAATATCAGTCTGTGATGAATACTACCTTTAAATTTAAATCTCCATTCACTTCAAAATACAATTTTATTTCACTATCGTTATAGTGACAGTTACTTATAAGGATGCATATAAGTAGTATGTACAGAAACGTCGAAAGTGACAATAATAGATTGATGAGAAATGAAGAAAAAAGAACATTCAATTTTGACTGATAATACAAAGCAAAAAAATTGCGCGGAATAACTAGCAGAACAAAAATAAATTGGCAAATGAATAAATTAGAACAAGACATGTAACAGTGGAGAAGAAATTTCTCTATTCAACAACTTCATTATCAAGCTGTACGATCGTATTTATACTCGGTAAAATGACAGATAATTGCACTGAAAAGGGAGTTACTCAGTCAATATGCAAAATATACAATCGGTGGAAGGGTGGTGGTATTTATTCCAATGGAAGAGATGGAAAATGAGTCACTATGACTAAGGAACGAAGTGATAACAAGTGATGAGATAAGAGATAAGTGCTGTCAAAGAATTGTAAAACGGTGATAATTTAGCTAAAACATGCAAAATAGGTGAATGAATAAGCAATGAATTGATATTAGCCAATGAAATATGGGTTAAATGTTGTCTATGAAGTGAAAATTGGTGATAATAATGATAAGTGAGAAGTATACCAAAGTGAAGTGAAGTGAAATGAAATTAACAAAGTCAAGGTAGAGAAAGTGATTTCACAAAACGTTTTTGAATGCAAACTTTCGATTTTTGTTCATGTATAGCTAATGTTTCAGCTATGCATAAGTGGTGGAAATGTTAAACTTTGGAGTAGTTCAATTCAACTTTGTAAATTATTTTGAAGGATGAATCTCGAGGTGCTGAATGACCTAATTCAACAGTGTTCACATATGGATGAAGTCGTTTCCTTTTGCTCGCCTTTGGTAAGCCAAACTGGGTAATGCTTGGAGGGCACACCTGAGACGTCCAATATAGTCAGCTCCACAGGAGCATATGAACTTGTAGATACACATAGATGTGGACATAAGTGGAAGCCTATCCTTCACGTACTGACGAATCAGACGGCAGCTGGGGAATATCAGTCTGAGTCTAGCAGCACACAAGCTACTTCTGATACATCTTGACAGACAATTTTTCATCACTTCGGCTGTGGTGTCTTCTTTGAATTCTAGATTCATGGTTAAAATTTTCTTAGGGACTGGAATGGGATGAGGAATGGTTTGTTTCTTCAAATTCTTATCAATAAATCTTTTAGGGTATTCGTTGTTCTAAGAGTTTCGATTTCAGCATCCATCGTATCTTCTCAACAGATTTTATAGATTCTGTAACACAGCGAGTGAATGAAATTTCTTTTATAACTAAGAGGTACCCAACTATAAAAGTTAGTAAACTGACCGGTCCAAGTTGGTTTTCGATAGACTGACATTTGAATCGAGTTATCATGCCTTCTCTTTAAGATTACGTCTAGAAAGTGGGACGTTTTGACAACACGTGCCTCTTATCAATTCGTTCCTTAGTCACATTGACTCATTTTCCATCTCTTCCATTGGAATAAATACCACCACCCTTCCACCGATTGTATATTTTGCATATTGACTGAGTAACTCCCTTTTCAGTGCAATTATCTGTCATTTTACCGAGTATAAATACGATCGTACAGCTTGATAATGAAGTTGTTGAATAGAGAAATTTCTTCTCCACTGATACATATCTTCATCTTATTCATGAATAAATGGATATATTCCGTCAAATGAACAAATCGAACTTTATTAAGATCAGATTTCTCTATTATCGCAAAAGTATAATTGCTGAGTTATCTATGTGTTGGCATTTCAGAACGATCTTAACAATGACTTTTTTCTGGGGGTTAAATGTTGGGCAAACAAAACCACCTTTTTAATGATTTTTTTTCTGATAACTTGCAAAAAAAGTACTTTAGTATTCTACATAACTAAAGAAATTAGCTCACCTCTTGCTATATCGTTGCTAATAACAACCATTTTTGACTATAATACGCTTACATATATTGAATTATCAACACTATGTAACCAAGTGAACGGTGAACCAATAAGAATTAAGTGAAGACTTATTTATCATATCACCTCACTTCACTTTACTTATCAATTTATCACCTTGTTTATTTAATGTGTTTATGTGTACTCCATACAATAGATAATCTAACTAAATGAAACCAGTTGTGTACACAGAATAAAAAGTGAAATATATAAGTGAAGAGGATAGTCATCTGTGAAACATTAATGGCGAGATCTTTTCCAGCTGATACAAGAGCACAAAAGGCTTTAGAAGAACTTTATGAAAAAGAGACTATATCACAATTGAATTGGTTTTTAAAATGTCAAGAAGCGAAGAAAAAACTTGGTCTTGCTCCATTGACAGCTTCAGATATCATTGATACACCTTTACCGAATGTTTCTGAATTAATATCAAAATTGACAAAAAAATCTCAGATGGAATTAATTCAAGAGAATTATTCACCTGATATTACATCAGTAGATAATGTAAAGGAAGATCAAATAATACTGACACCTGGTCCTGATATGTATCAACCATCTACACAAGTATTAAGTCTATTGTATGAAGGAATTTCAAAGGAGGGTAAAGGACGGTAAGTTGTATGCCTCATCTTTATTTCCTTTTTTGTAAACTTTGGGATAGATTAATTCTATCTGAAGTTTTGTGCAGGTTAGAATCCATTACGGAATGGGACTTCTTAGCGGTGCACATCCATGACCGAAGTTCCTGAAGTTCTAATGACTAATGGAGTTAATCAAGTAGAACATGAGGACAGTTACTCAACAGTGACATTGAATGTAGGTCTGGCTATATCGTGAAGTAAACGAATTAGAAAGTATGGACCATTCAATTTCGATCCACTGGCTCAAAGTTATTGTGGTAGCCACGGAACCTGAAGGTTATGACTTTGAACCATGGTGGGATCATGAGTAAGTTTGAGTCTTATACTTGTGGGATGAAACAGCTGTCCACTACTCCCGGGCTTCCAGTGTTCTTCCATATGAAGTCAGTCCATGATGAATTCCAATCTGCAATCATTTAATAAATCTCCTCAAACCTTCATATAGAAGTAATCCTTGGTTTGTAAGGGAGAAATCATGAAGGCTAAGGTATTACAGTGCATGAGAAGTAAGAAAATCAATTAACCGGTTACAGCCAATTTATGACTACCCCTTACCTGGAAACTGAATAGTTATGAAGAAGATTCATTAGTAGCTGCCACCTACGCTCGGTAATGAAGATCGATCAGATGGTCAGAAAGAATAAGCAAGAAGGAACTCTGGTCTACAGACGAACAAACCAAGAACCTATCGCCCAACAAATACACAGAATAAGAAAGTGGGGATGGATCGGGCATACACTGAGAGGACAGCCTGAGGACCTCACGTGCCAGAGTAGGCCATCGAGTTTAACCCAGATGAAAAATGACGAGTTGGGTTTCCGACGCGAGGAGGACATATAGGAGATAGTGTGAAGGAGAAATGAGAGGTTGTGAGCAGTTGTGGAGCCAGCTTAAGAAGACTGGAGAGAAGAGAGTGGACTGGTGACGTGCTACTGCAGCGGTATGTTCCACTAGGAACCCAAGGGAAAAATAATAATAATAAATGAAGAGGATTTATAGATTTATCGTTTCGTATCATTTACTTAAATGCGACCCATTCCTTTTAAACAATGAATGATGGAATTCAAGATAAGGTGGATAGAAATCGTCCAACTGAAAGTTCACAGTTGATTCAGAGTAACAGCATAGGTCAGAGCGTATTCAAGGCTGTCTTATTGTCAACCACACCATAGGATTAAATAGCTATTCTAATGACATGATTTATAAGTTTGAATAGCAATATAACGTGGAATAGAAATAATCATTGTTTACTGTTCTCTTAACTATGACGCTCATTTTTGAACGTATCGTTATCAAGCTAGACCACTTCAGCAACACTTTAAAGTTGTTTAAACTCATATAAAAGACATTTACCGACATTGCGTGGTAGGGATGACTTTTTCTTCTTTTCTATCAGACGTTGCTGTTTTTAACTGTTTGCTTAATGTTTGATTATTCGCTTGAATGATTGATTTCTGGTTGGCTGATCTGTATATTGGATCACTGACCACATATTTGTTGATTACAATTTCATTGATGTAATATGCTTTCAGAAATTCTCTTGCTTGTTGTACTATTTTAATGTTATCCTAATCGAAGTAACTTACTTAAGGCTTCGCCCTTGTTGGCAATCGTCAGCTGCGTGTACCTGCAAATAGAAGGGAACTGATGTCTCGCCTGAGATTTGAGCAGACGTGACACGTCTTTATAGTCAAAGGCATTACCATTAGGATACTGGGATTGCGGCCCAACCCCCTTTAATAAGTTTCGATAACTACGGCCACTTACTTCGTTGTGTCTAGCGGAGGAATCCAGGACGCGTGTTTTGTCCTATTTGGGGCACGTCAGCCGGATGTACATGTACTGAGACTTTAACCTCATACCTATCGCTTCAAACGCCAAGGCGTTATCCACCAGGCCACGGAAGAACGATAACTAATTATTGATAAGGTTATTAGAAGACGAAGATTATCTGAACAATGTGTGTGTGATGTATTTGTCTAATACATATGAATATGAAAAGGTTGTGACACTTGTCTTCGTTATATAACAACAAATTACTTTTGTACATACAACGGGGCGTTAAGTTTACAAATAGCTAAAATGCTCCGACAGATTTCAGTATGCTCTCCTTACTATTCCTATATGATGTCATGAATTCTGTTTTTCTATCAACCTCATGATTCATTTCGATGATTTGCTTTGTTATAGGTGAGGCGGAATCTCTGTCACCTGCACTGGTCGAAGTTTGTGTGTTAAACTGTTCACCCACTCTAGTCTGCATAGCACGATTACTCTTCCCTACATAAGTGTATATGCCCTCACAGATACATGTAAATTGGTAAACACAGTAGGATGTGACATAATCATTTATGCTAGGTTGAGGTTTGTGGAGCAGCAGGTGTTTTGTTGTTTCAACGATGATAAGCAGAGCTGTATAGTATGTTGTACACGTAAAAGATTTCAATCTCTGTTTCAACAGCAATCTACTTGTTTACCTTTTGTATGGTACTTTAAGAAATGGGTGCTTCTTCGGGACCAAGGAAATTATAGGCTCTGAGGTCAGCTGTAATAGATATCCATTTTCTACAAGTATCTTTGTGAGAAACTTACTCTAATCATCCAAACACGTTAGATCCTATTGAATAAGCAACTTACTAAGCCTTTTTTATATTTCACTGGACAAAAGCTGTTGAAAATCAAGTACTGTCGTGCCCAAGTAGACTTTCTATAGATTGATTATCAGATAGAGTCATCTTCCATCTGATACAAGAGTATATCAGGAAATGCAAGTTGATGGTCATTCTCTTCCTCACATAGTAAGTTGATTTGATCTTGTACGGCATTAAGACTTTTTAACGAACCCCCGGCAACCTTATCTGTGTCACATATTACAAAGATATCATCAACATACCATTTATAGAATGTGATATCACTGATTAGATCCTGAGCGATTATTTAACTATTTGACATATATATACGTCAGCGATTGCCTCGTCACACAATGTTAGCTGAAGTAGGCCCAGGCTGGCAAAAGGCCTGAGATGGCCAGACTAAAACATGGCACAAATGTTTGAAGTCTTTGACTGTTGGTTTGAGCTATGTGGAGAGATGCAGACTAGCTGGTTGAGGTCCACGGGACAAGAGAAACCAGTGGTTGGAGACTGACTCTAGGTGATCACATGGCTGAGAACCGATGTCAGTGGCTCAGATGTATATACACATTATCGTCATCTTAACGATGCTATATCGAATCTCACCATTTTGTCATTCCTCCTTTCTTTCTTCTCTTACTTTATATTTCTTTTGACTGCATTCTCATATCTTCATGTTGCACCTTTCTACCTTTCTACTTGATGTACTGTACTGAGCTGTGGCAACTTGGAGTGTTACGCAGTAATGCCTCGTCCCATGTTGATATTGATGATGATGATACATCAGCTAATAATGGTACTAATAAACTCTCCATAGCAACACTATCAATTTGTCGAAGGTGTTGACCTTCGAAAGTGAAATGAACCTTATCAGTACATAATAAAGGGAGCTCTTTCATATCTGTTGAAGAGATAGGGAAAGAAAGATAATTCAAGGATGAATGATCTCAATGAATATTCACTGTCTTCGTTGGGGTTGACATCAACACAGTACATACTCTTGTCTCTGGTATTCATATCAGTAAGACAATCAACAAGTAGAAAAGTATCTTAGAAATCTGTATAGACATCCAAAAGTTTATAATTCACTACTTCCATTATTGTCAATGTATCAGTCTACCATATACAAATTAGAGAAATGAATCATAAGGAAAACAACATTTAAGATATTATATAGGAATAGTAAGTGGCGCATGCTAAAATTTGTCAAAGCGTTAGCCATTCGTAAGTTGAGGCCACTATTGTGTGTACAATCGCTGCCCGAATAGCTCAGTAGTAAAGTCACTGACTACAACACTGAGTGACGAGGGCTCGAATCTCAGGTGGAACATCAATTCCCTCGAGGTTGCAGATACGCCTTGCTGACAAGTGCCAACAAGCACGAAATCTAGATCGAGCAGGACTTCCTGCCGATTGCCTCCAACCAACTAACATCTACTAATGTGCACCATGATGCTGAGCTTCCTAGCTTGGTTGGCACACTGCAAATATGATAGGTAGAATTCGATTTGCACTCAGGACTAGACAGCGTGAAACTGGTTACACCCCTGTGACCAATCAATACATGTAAATCAGTCTTACAAGAGGTCAGTCACGGCCCGAATAACTCAATGGTAAAGTCACTGACTAGAACACTGGGTGACGCGAGTTCGAATCTCAGGTACCCTTACTGACGAGTGCTAAGAAGCACGAAACCGAGGTGCAGCACCTCCTGCTGACTGCCTCCAACTAACAAATTTGTTGTCCCACCTAATTCACCTTAGTAATCATTGGTAATCGGATTATATTACCAAGACAAGTGTCATAACCTTTTCATTATATTTGACCTTTCATTTTCATATATAAATTAACTAGAGACAAGTAAATGTGCTGGGAATCAGATAGTCCGAAATGTATTAGACAAATACATCACACACAAATTGTTCATATATTCTTCGTCTTCTAATAGCCTCATCGATTATTATTATTACTATTATTATTATTATTATTATTATTATTATTATTATTATTATTATTATTATTATTATTATTATTATTATTAGTCCCTTAGGTTCCTAATGGAACATAGGGCTTCAGTAGCACGCCTCCAGTGAACTCTGTTCTCTGAAATCTTTTGAACCTGGCTCCACAACAGCCTACAAGCTCTTTTTTCTTCCTTGCACGATCTCCTCCATGTCACCCTCACCTCGGATGCACAACTTGTCACTTCCCATCTAGGTTACACTCGAGTACCTGGCCTGACGCGTGATGTCCCCAGTCAGCCCTCTCAGTGTATGCCCAATCCATCTCCACTTCCTCTCAGTGCATTTTTGTTGAGTGATAGCTTCTTGGTTGGTC